CTCTCTTTCTCTCTCTCTCTCTTTCTCTCTACGTTAACACGCATACACGTACGTGCTCGACTCGGCTTGCTATTTTATTGATTTATTTTGGCTCTAGCACTCTCTCTCTCTCCTTTTCTTTCCTTTCCTTTCCTTCCTTCGTAGCAGACGATCGATCGATATACGATGTTGAATCTTATTCGTTCTATCCCTTTCTCTCTCTATCTATCTATCTATTTATCTTTCTCCCTTTTTCTCTCTTTCTCTCTCTCTCTCTCTCTCTCTCTCTCTCTCTCTCTCTCTATCTATCTATCTCTCTATCTTATTTTAAATTTAATCCGGAGCATAATTTAATTATTACACGTTTAGAAATTCGAACGATTATGCATATATATATATATGTATATATATGTATATATATGTATATATGTATGTATGTATGTATGTGTATGTGTACGTAAGACGTCCTATCGTTTCAAAATGATTAATCGAAATATTTCACGTATAAAACGTACCGATCATTTATCAGAAGAAGATTCTTCTCTATTTCTATCTTTTTTGGCCTCGGTCTACCTACTCGACACGCGGCATATTGGCCAATATCTTCGTTTCGACGTGGGTCGTCCTCCTCATCGTTTCGCTTAGGATACAATTCCGCCATTTCCTTTTTTTCTTTCTCTCCCTCTTTCTCTCTCTCTCTCTTTATATCCATTCCTTCGTCTCCTCCTCTCTTCTCCCCACTCAGTTTCCTCACCATCTCGATGAATTACGCGAAGAACGTGACATTAAATATGCAGGTATCATATAGATACACACATATATATGTGTATCTATATCTGTATACACTTACACACATAAGTGTATACGTGCATAACCGATTCTACTTTTAATCCACATGTGCTTATGTTTGAGCACGTATGATGTATATGTGTTCGTAGCTTAGTTGGTTCACGAGCCTAATGTATTAGCGTAATATTAACGAGGATAATACAAAAAAGGAAACCGTGAGAAATGGAACGAGTTAAACCAAATTTCGCGTTATGAGATCCTTGAAATCTCTTCGAAACGGGAGGATAGGATTATGTCTCTCTGAAACACCCACGTATTCTCCTGTTGCTCCGCAACAGGTTGTTCTCTCTCTCTCTCTCTCTCTTTCTCTGCTTGCTCTCTCACTCGCTCGCTTCTCTTTTCTCTTCCTCTCACGAGATCCGAACACCCTCGAGTCAGAATGGCAGACTCATTACGTCCTTTTCCTTTTATTTTCTCTTCTTCTTCTTCGTATTCTTCTTCTTCTTCTTCTTCTTCCTCTCAATAATGTCTCTGTGTGCATCTTTATATCTTTTCTCTTTCTTTCTTTTTCTCTCTCTCTCTTTCTCTTTCATTCAACAGGCGATCAAACACCGGTATATCCTTTACTTTCTCCGGGAGTTTATCTGAATATCTCGAAACCGATCGTAACACATATATCGTATTATCGAATCGTATTGTATTATCGTATTAATAGATTAAAAAAAAAAAAAAAAAAAAAAAAAAAAAAAAAAAAAAAAAAAAGAAAAGAAAAAGAAAAGGACAAACGTCGCAAAAATTGAAAAACGAAATGAATGGAACTCGAGATTTCTCTCTCTCTCTCTCTCTCTCTCTCTTTCTCTCTTTTTCTTTTTTCTCCTTTTTTTTTTCGACGAGTTATCCGAGCAAGAAGGTCAAGGTCGGCCTTGGGAAAGTTCGATCGAAGTCCTTAAAGGGGAGATATCTCTTCCAAGCGGAAGTAACAGCTTCCGCGATTTAATTTTTAGACATCTATTGATCTCAGTTGTTTTTTTTTTCTTCTTTTTTTTTTCTTGTGGAAAACGATGCTACTCGCGTAATGGATTCTTCCTCGATTCTTTTTCCTTCTCTCTCTCTCTCTCTCTCTCTCTCTCTCTCTCTCTCTCTCT